TGAAGGACACTGGGTGCTTTGACATCACATTTTTATGCAAAGTGATTTTTTTTGTAGTAATTTATTTCTATGTATTTATATTATACTTTTTTTTGCACATATTGCACCTGATGGTGGACATTAACCACTTGCCCTCCAGGGGATTTACTCCCTTCCTGACCAGGCCATTTTTTCTGCAATAAAGCGCTGCGTTATTTACACTGCCAATTGAGCGGTGATGCAACACTGCACCCAAATGAAATTTACGTCCTTTTTTTCCCTCACAAATGGAGCTTTCTTTTGGTGGTATTTTTTTTTAACTTTTTTTCCCTATAAACAAAAAAAGACCGACAATTTTGAAACAAAAAACACTATAATTTTTTACTTTTTGCTATTAAACATGTCCAGTAAAAAAAAAAAAAAAATAATCAAATTTCGTCATAAATTTAGGCCAAAACGTATTCTGCTGCGTCTTTACTAAAAAAAATTCCAATACGTGTAAATTAATTAAAAGTGTATATATATATATATAAACCTGCGCTAATAAAACCACAATAGATAATAAAAAAAATGAGTTGTAAAACATATAGCAGCTGAACACCAACACCCTGATACTAGGCAATCCACAATAATACATAAAATTATTGTGGTTTAGCTACCCCAATTAAGGTCCATTGTTGATAGATCTTTATCTGCTCTTTTGGAGATCTGGAGGATCTGGAGGAGGATTCAAGTGTCCGGCTTTCTGGATTATTTAGACAAAGTGCATTCTGGTAAGCCTTCTGTAGTAGTGGTTGGTGACAACAACTATTCTTGGATTTTATTTTGTTTCATCACAACCGCTGGGACTTTTCTTTCATTTTTGGATGGACTATATTTTTTGATACACTTTTCACGGTTTCTTTATGATTATTTGTCACTTTTTAAGCGCTGCACTTTTATGTATTAGTGTAAATTAATTGGTTTTACATGAAAGTTATAGCATTTACAAATGGTGGTATATATACTGGAATGTTTTTTTTTTTTTATTTACTAGTAATGGCGTTGATCAGCAACTTATAGCGGGATAGCAGCGGACATTCTGACACTGGGGGGAACTGACTTGATGTCACTGACATCCCCAGTGACACCAACACAGTGATCAGTGCTAGCAAAAAGCACTGACACTGTACTAATAGCACTGGGCAGGAAGGGTTTAACAGGTGGGGCGATCAAAGGGTTTATTTTATACTATGTGCTGTTTTACTATGTGGGCTGTGTGTGCTTTATACTGTAAGCACACTGCTTTGTATGACTCTGCTATGCAGAGCCATACAAAGCAATGTGCAGGAGCTGACAGGGGAGAGATCGGTATTGTTTACATACAGGTTTCTTCCCCGTTGGTAATACCCGGAGATTGCCGAGTGCCAGTGGGGAGTCACCGGCCGAGGCCCGGTGATTGACAGCCGAGGCCGCAAAATAGCTATCTATATATCTATATCTATCTATATATACACACACACACACACACACACACACACATACATACATACACACACACACGTGATTATGTGCACCGTGCCGCCCTGTAGCAGTATTTCCGCTATAGGGTGGCACAGAAGCAGTTGAGGGCTTTGTTTATTTGGATTTAATAAGAAATATTATGGACACATTGTTTGTGTACTGAGTTGCACAATATTTTGAAAGTGAATATTTTGTTGGTACATTTTATACGGTTCTATTTGAACACCTATTATAGCACATATTTGCTTCTCTACTCCCCAAAGTGCTCTTTATCTGACTGTCTCCGTTCTTCATAATTTGAGGCAAGCAAAAGGTGACATTTTTCTAAAGCTCTGATTGGGCTTGGCAGGCATTTTACCTGACAACTTGTCTGTTGAGACATGGTTTCCCCACAGAAGCTAGAACCTCATGTATTCACAAGGTCACAACAAAAGTGGCCATATTCTAGCAGGATTCCCTAATTTTAATACTACCCCATATGCTCAAACCCTACTAAAATACAAAAAAAAAAAAAATCAAAAAAAATGTGAAAAAACACGTGAAAACATAGTCTCCAAAAACAAAATTATACACTCGTGTCCAAAATTAAAGTCATTTCCAATTTGGATTCCAATAAGGAAAAATCCCAAAGCCTGGTCAGTGAGCCCTCCAAATGGCTTCAACGGACAATGTGAACCTCAAAAAAAGAAAAAAACTTATATAGTGCGTTACCCTTATAAACAAATGATCAAAAATGAATATGCTCTGTGCAACTACAAATCAAGTGTGACCACATAAGTGAAAAGTGAACACTGTGCAACAACCGTGATGGTGAATCACTCTTGTGAAATACAATAATCCAAGTGACAATAGCAGTGTAAGGAATAAATACCCTTACCAAATGGCCATAAAACCACGCCTTAATACCACAAGGGGTATATTAAATTTATTCCAAAGACCGCCTTCCCAGCCTGAGTATTAATCTTTATGATGTCATCACAGCCTCATAGATGCTTCTCCTAGATGTCATCAGGGCTTTAGCAGGAGTACTCCATAGTACTCATAGTACCCATGCTCCACAGATGTACATGATATATGGCAAGGATATAGTGTAATTCCGTATATAATGTTCAGAATATACTTTATTATTGCTCTTACTTTAAATAAACATTAAAACCGCCATATTCCCATGACTCCAAACCTCTGCAGTGTCCGAGCAGCTTCCAGGAGTGTTTGGTAAGAATTTCTACCATCCAAGATGGCCACTCCGCCACTTCCGGTTCCTCCGTGTGCATCCAATGTCACTTCCCTTTGACGCGTTTCATCACTTCCAGGACTTAATCATAAGGGGTGTGTTTGTCGGACTGATCGGCCGCACTTATACCCCTCCTCTCAATGGCTCCGAGACCACGGCCGCCATATTAAAGCAGGGAAAGGTGCCAGTAATGTTCCGTACTTATAATGTCTCTACTTCATAACAGAATCTGCAGCTGCTATACAACTTCTCCCTTACCTTAAATATCCCTAAGCACCCTCATGTACAACAATATACCCCCACAGAAGAATACATCTCAAATAGCTTCTCAGGAATACTATATAGACATAAACAATCTATCCTATGCCAGCCTTATATTAATCCAATTTTATAGGCTACGTAATAGCGGTATTTTATATAATGATATTGATGATTATTTTATATTATGGTTTATTATATATTTGTTTTAATAATTCATATTTAATTTTTATCATTAGTGAACATGATTAGAGGAGATATTAAAGATGATATTCTAGATTATTTAATAATTGATTGGGATCATATTTTAGTATATAGGTAGGAGGAATATTAATTATTGCCATTTATGTAAATTTGATATGTTGGTTTTAATAAGTACACAATAAGACATAAGGAAATTTATATAAGGGAACCTTTGTTAGTTGCATATAGATCAGGGTTATATATATATATATATATATATATATATATATATATCTTTATTAAACAGGTAATGTGCCCCTTTTACTTGGTTATGGGCATATACAATGAAGCCCTATAAGATTAACATGAGGATGGCATAGGATAGATTGTTTATGTTTATATAGTATTCCTGAGAAGCTATTTGAGATGTATTCTTCTGTGGGGGTATATTGTTGTAAATGAGGGTGCTTAGGGATATATACGGTAAGGGAGACGTTGTATAGCAGCCGCAGATTCTGTTATGAAGTAGAGACATTATAAGTACGGAACATTACTGGCACCTTTCCCTGCTTTAATATGGCAGCCATGGTCTCGGAGCCATTGAGAGGAGGGGTATAAGTGCGGCCGATCAGTCCGACGCACACACCCCTTATGATTAAGTCCTGGAAGTGATGAAACGCGTCAAAGGGAAATGACGTCGGATGCACACGGAGGAACCGGAAGTGGCGGAGTGGCCATCTTGGATAGTAGAAATTCTTACCAAACACTCCTGGAAGCTGCTTGGACACTGCAGAGGTTTGGAGTCATGGGAATATGGCGGTTTTATTATTTATTTAAAGTAAGAGCAATAATAAAGTATATTCTGAACATTATATACACTATATCCTTTCCATATATCATGTACATCTGTGGAGCATGGATACTATGAGTACTATGGAGTACTCCTGCTAAAGCCCTGATGACATCTAGGAGAAGCATCTATGAGGCTGTGATGACATCAAAAAGATTAATACTCAGGCTGGGAAGGCAGTCTTTGGAATAAATTTAATATACCCCGTTTATGGCCATTTGGTAAGGGTATTTATTCCTTATACTTTAGAAGTGTACACGGCTATTGTCACTTGGACTATTTTAGTTCACAAGAGTGATTCACCATCACGGTTGTTACACGTTTCACTTATGTGGTCACACTTGATTTGAAGTTGCACAGAGCATATTGCATAGTTAATTTTTGATCATTTGTATATAAGGGTAACGCACTATATAAGTTTTTCTTTTTTTGGAGGTTCACATTGTACGTTGGAGCCATTTGGAGGGCTCGCTAACCAGGATATGGGATTTTTCCTTATTGGAATCTGAATTGGGAATGACTTTAATTTTGGACACGAGTATATCATTTTGTTTTTGGAGACTATATGTTTTCACGTGTTTTTCACATTTTTTGATTTTTATTGATTTTTTGTATTTTAGTAGGGTTTGCGCATATTGGGGTAGTATTAAGATTATTACACTTTCAAGGGTGAAAGTTAGACTTGTATGCTATAGGGTGTTAGTTGTTTATTTTTGTATATATTTGGATACCATATTTTATTTAATCTAGGATTCCCTAATTATTCCATATTTGGAAAACCTACTTAATAGAAGAATATAATTTAGTTTCATGATGACCATGAATGGTAAAGCTGGGAACCCTGGCGATGATTTTCCCACAAGTTTCTAAGATATTAGAAGCTGACACGTAATTTGCCTTGCCAGCAACCACAAAAAGCTGAAATTGGTTAGAGCTGGCCTAAAAAAAAAAATCAAAAATCAAAAGTTAGTGTATATAAACTAAAATCTGCACCTTTATTGTCCTGGTTGGAAACCCTAGGCGAGAAGGGCTGTGGACTGAGAGGAGTTTTGTTACTCAGTCTGCTTAATGATGAACTCCTCTGCTTTGCACCTGTGAAAAATGCAAAGTTAACAAGTCTGGACAAAGGGAAAAAAATAAGTAGATCTGAGAGTGCCACAGAACAAATTGATATACTGTATGCCTGTGTAAATAATAAAATAAAGTCAAAATAGAATGAAAAACAGAACTCCTATAGACTGGCAAAGACCATACAACACAGAGTGGATTAATTCCCTTTTGTCTAACCTTTTAACAAGCCAAGAACATTCCATAAATCATGGCTGTTTAATTCTCTGCTAGCCAATAACAAATTGAGCATATTGTGCAAATTAAAGAGTTAAAATTAAACCCTTGTGTTGAAATCGTGTTTAATTTCAGCTATGGCTTGTCAGTGAAATGCTGAATTTATGCAATTTCACAACTGGACCAGTTCTCACCTGTGCACAGGATCATATATATATATATATATATATATATATATATATATATATATATATATATATATATATATATATATATATTTTTTTTTTTTTTTTTTTTTTTTTTTTTTTTTTCACAAATTAATGATCAGTCAAAAAAATCTAATGGTAGGTGTATTGTAAACACAGACAGAATAGCAACAAAAAAATTCAAAAGAAATGCATGTCTAACAAATGATGCACTGATTTGCATGTTCATGAGGGAAATAAGTACTGTATTTGATCCCCTTCACAAAACATGACTTAGTTATTGGTGGCAAATCCCTTGTTGGCAATCTCAGAGGTCACACGTTTTCTGTAGTTGGCCACCAGGTTTGCACACATCTCAGGAGGGATTTTGGCCCACTCCTCTTGGCAGATCCTCTCCAAGTCATTAAGATTTGGTGGCTGATGTTTGGCAACTTGAACTTTCAGCTCCCTCCACAGATTTTCAATTGACTTAAGGTCTGGAGACTGGCTAGACCACTCCAGGACCTTAATGTACTTCTTCTTGAGCCACTCCTTTGTTGCCTTGGCCGTGTGTTTTGGGTCATTGTCATGCTGGAACACCCATCCACGACCCATTTTCAATGCCCTGGCTGAGGGAAGAAGGTTGTCGCCCAAGATTTGACGGTACATTGCCCCGTCCATCGTCCCTTTGATGCGTTGCAGTTGTCCTGTCCCCTTAGCAGAAAAACACCCCCAAAGCAGAATGTTTCCACCACCATGTTTGACAGTTGGGATGGTGTTCTTGGGGTCATAGGCAGCATTCCTCCTCCTCCAAACATGGCGAGTTGAGTTGATGCCAAGGAGCTCGAGTTTGGTCTCATCTGATAACACTTTCAACCAGTCCTCCTCTGGATCATTCAGATGTTCAGTGGCAAACTTCAGATGGGCCTGGACACGTGCTTTCTTGAGCAGAAGGACCTTGTGGGCACTGCAGGATTTCAATCCTTGTCGGCGTAGTGTGTTACCAATTGTTTTCTTGGTGACTGTGGTCTCAGCTGCCTGGAGATCATTGACAAGATCCTCGCGTATAGTTCTGGGATGATTCCTCAATGTTCTTCTGATCACTGACACTCCACGAGGTGAGATCTTGCATGGTACACCAGACCTAGGGAGACTGACAGTTGTTTTGTGTTTCTTCCATTTGCGAATGATTGCACCAACTGTTGTCACCTTCTCACCAAGCTGCTTGGCGATAGTTTGGTAGCCCAGTCCAGCCTTGTGTAGGTCTACAATCTTGTCCCTGACATCCTTGGACAGGTCATTGGTCTTTGCCATGGTGAGAGTTTGGAATCTGATTGTTTGATTGCTCCTGTGAACAGGTGTCTTTTATACAGGTAACAAAATGAGATTAGCAGCACTCCCTTTTAAGAGACTGCTTCTAATCTCAGCTTGTTACCTGTATGAAAGACACCTGGTAGCCAGAAATCCTGCTGAATGATAGGGGATCAAATACTTATTTCCCTCATGAACATTGAAATCAGTGCATAATTTATTAGACATGCATTTCTTTTGAATTCTTTGTTGCTACTCTGTCTCTCAGTGTTACAATACACCTACCATTCAATTTTTAGACTGATCATTTCTTTGTGAGTGGGCAAACATTCAAAATCAGCAGAGGATCAAATACTTATTTCCTTTACTGTATATATATTCGTCACTACATAAAGTACCGGTAATAATATTACTATATACAATCATAAAGCAAATGTAATAAAAAGTAATTTAAACCACCAAACACCTACTTAGGACACATAAATCCCTAAGGCTGGCCACACACACAAACACACAGAGTTTCATTCAGCTTGCAAACTGAGCAAAAGGAATCTAACGGATTTCTCTAGTTATGCTAAACACGGATGGATGTGCTCTCAGCTAATGTATTCAGAAAGCTGGCATCTGCAGCTGTCAAAATACTTGAACAGCGTCTGCATTCAATTAGATGCAAGCGCTGCTTGGCTGAACGTTTCCACCTGGCTCTTTCGACAAAAGTCAACTGAATTATTTTTTGTTGAGCTTGGTGGTACTGACAGAAGAACCCACAGCTCGAATCTCAGTCAATTTATCAGGAACTGGCTAAAATTCGAACAATATACAGCAGCCTTAAGACCTCTACGACATAATATTATGACAAATATTAGATATATCCACCCATTGGAGGCCTGGGACTACATTTTGGCCAAGTAACAGTCCCCCCCCCCCCCCAAAAAAAAAAAGCACACGAAGGAAGGTTTTGGGATTTAATAAAGGTAATATTAGGCACTGAGGTGTCAGAGCTTCTAGTTTTAAATGATTAAAACAGGTGACAGGTTTACTTTATGAGGAAATTAAAGCATAAAATACCTCTAAGCAGGATTTCAGGATAGAATATGTTCTATAACAATGCTCCATTATGATGAAAAACATTTGCCTTTATTGCACTACAGTACAAGTTCAGCTCATATGTATCAATATTGTTAAGACATCCTAAAAAAAAAAAAAATTACCTTTTTCTGAAGAAGTTTGAAGAGTGGCAGATGAAGAGGACAATCGCTTATTCATGACGCTGTCTGCCTGCTTTAAATTACATGCTGAAGTGGAGCGCTTGTTTGCTGAAGGGGAAAAAAAAAAACAAAAGACAGTGCGTTACGACTAGAGATGTAAAATTTACAGACATTTTGAAGCCAAGAGAAAATGTTTTTTTCCCTGTTTTTTCCAGAAAAGAAATAATTTTTTTTTGATAATTTGGAAAAAATTCAGTGTGGAGTAATTTTACAAATTGAAAGCCATTTTTTTTATTTTTTGTTACACTGCAAATTGCAGCTTTGCTCTCAGCAAAAACTGCACTTTGGAAAGGATTCCAAACTCTAGATGTTGGTCTAGACCAGGGGTGGGCAAACTTTTTGACTTGAGGGCCGCAATGGGTTCATATATTGGACCCGGGGGCCGGACCAAGAGTAGATGAATGATGTGTATGTGTCATCCATAGTAAGTATAGTAATATTCCCCCATAGTAAGCATAGTAATTAATCCCCCATATAGTAATTCATCCCCCATATAGTAATTCATCCCCCACATAGTAATTCATCCCCCACATAGTAATTCATCCCCCCACATAGTAATTCATCCCCCCACATAGTAATTCATCCCCCCACATAGTAATTCATCCCCCACATAGTAATTCATCCCCCATATAGTAATTCATTCCCCCTAGTAATTCATTCCCCCTAGTAGTATTCATCCCCCCCATAGTAATTCATCCCCCCTATAGTAATTCATCCCCCATATTAAGTCCCCAAGTCCCCCCTGTGTCAATTCACTTACCTTTGCTCCGCACGTTCCTCTCGCCGTATTCCCGCGCCGTTCCGGTGTAGCATGAAAATCTGTCTCCTATGAGGATCTGTCCCCCTCGACTTATCTGCGCATGTGCCAGTTTCAGGCATTAGCAGCCGATCGGCGATCTCCGGCACATGCGCAGATATGTCGAGGGGGACAGATCCTCATAGGAGACAGATTTTCATGCTACACCGGTCTTCAGGGCGGACTGTGAGAGGAGCCTCGCGGGAGCCTAGCTCCGCGGGCCGGATTAAAAGGTCCGCCGGGCCGTAGTTTGCCCATTACTGGTCTAGACAAAGACATTCAAACTTACTGACCAAATTTACCTCTTACCTGCCAGTGATATTAAAAGCGAAAAAAAAAAAAAAAAAAAAAAAAAAAAAACCACCAAAACAACATATGTGATATTTACCTGCTTTGTGCAGTGGTTTTGCACAGAGCAAGCAGCCCCGAACCTCCTCTCTAAGGTCCCTGGGTGGCGCTCATGGCCACTCCCTCCTGCCGAATGTCCCCACAGCAAGCAGCTTGCTATGAAGGTACCCAAGCAGGCTTGTTCCAAACTATTCATCCACACACAGAATGCAGCTCGAATCCACCCCCAGCTCTCTCTTCATTGGTTCACTGGCTGTGATTGACAGTAGCAGGAGCCAATGGCTGCTGTCTTAGCCAATGAGGAGGGAAAGTTTCAGGGGAGCCACTGTATCAAGAAGGGGCTCGGGTAAGCATTGAGAAGGGGGGTGGGGACTGCTGCACACAAAATGTTTTTTACCTTCATGCATAGAATGCATAAATGTCAAAAACCTTGAGCCTTTACAACCACTTTAAGGCCTGAGGAGGACAGGAACTAACTCTATATCCCAACAATCACCCAACTGTAGGAGGTACAAGATGGAGCATACAAGCAAACTAAACTGCATCCTTTCCAATGCAGTGCCCCCTAGTGGCAGAAAAGCATATTTCTCTTGTTTGAGAACTTCATTGAGAAGTACAGTGTTACCCGATTCATATTCCAGGATTTGATTTGCTTGTATTCAGCTGAAATAAATTGCAATAATTTAAGACTTTACATAAAGTCTTAAATTATCAAATTGCTTTTAATGTCACCTTAATTATCAAGGTCTTCATGTTATATAGTTTGAATGCCATGTCATAGATATTATTTATCATTGTAAAGAACAAATTCTACACTTTTTTTTTTTAATTTTTCCCAGAAAAAATAAAACGGGTTTGGAAAAAAAAAGTTTTTCCCCAACATTTCTGGAGGTTGTTTTTTCCAGGCAAAGTAAGGGTCTCCTAGGTATAAAAAGTAATCTTTCCATGAAGATTTTTTAACTTACTAGAATATCCTAGCGCCAACTTTTCCCTTAAAGATTTCACAGCATGCATGTAATATACAGTATTGTGGAGGAAACAAAAAAAACCCTGCATGCTTGAGTTAATGGTGCTCAGAAAAAACCCTCATAAGATGTCAGGAGAGGAACCTTGAGAGGATTTCTTTCACTAAATTTACAATATAAAAAAAATAAATACATTGCGACACAAAAAAAAAAAAAAAAAAAAAATCTGTTTATCTTGTTTGACTTAAAAGATGTAAATATTCAAGTGTGAATCAGGTCTAAGGATATAGGTCAATGTGTACGTTTTATTATTTAAATATCTCATGTGACACAATACTTAAGATTCAAGCTTCAAACTGCAGAAAATATGTAGCATGTTTAGACTCATGCAGCAAAATGGCTGAGAGGCATGAACTGTTACTCCGCTTCTTCAATTTTGTGCCAATGTTTTTAAAATATTTGAACTAAGCAATATACGCTTTCAGTTTGAATCAGAGACTGTGGTGGCTGGGCAGAAGGACTATGACAAAATGTGTGAGCCTAGGTAGGGGGGTAGCCACCTACAGATAAAAATTCTGCAAATTTTAGTGCCAGTTCACACCACATGCACTCCAGTATGTCTTTTGCTGCATCAAAAAAAGCATGGAAAATAGCTTATATGGTTTCCAAAGGCATAGTTCACAACAATTCCAAGGAGTTCCAGAAAAAAAAAAAAAAAAAAAAAAGTACAACATGCTGCATTTATTCCTGCACTGGACTGTACTGGAACATGGTAAAACACATCAAAATTGCACTGGAATGTATAAAAAACACACCAGACTCCAGTACAGTAAAAGAAAAAAAAAAGTGTTAAAAAGCATGCATGCAGAAACGCATCTGTAATGGATCTGGTGTGTGTATTTGTGGTGTGAACCGGGCCTTAGCATTCCTACACAGTTGAAAACAGATGCCACATTTCATATCATTATCCTACTTGAATTCAAAGTGTTGGCCACTTTTGACACCTTTCTTGAAAAGGCTTAGTGGCCAACACTGCAGTCTATATACATGGAATTTGCATGGAAATATTTTGATTTGTGTAAGTTTTCACTTGGTACACTGGTTGGATGGAAGGCTACAGATCCATTTTCCCTAGTATTTATTTGTGTGACCTAAAGAAATCTATAATCACAGCATATATTTTCATTGTATAACATTAACATTGCAATATAAACAATAGTTATTTTTGATAATCCACTCTAAGATTACTTCAAAAAATCTCCTTTCATGTTGAGTTTTACATGTATGCTGGTCATCTCTTTCCACAACTTACTAGATTCCCTGCATGCTTTGCAATTTACTTTCAGTTTTCTAAGGACTACATATCCCATGATGCCTTGCTGCCTGCAAGCTGTGATTGCTGTACTGACCATGCCTCCTGAAACTCCTCCTCTCAGCACTTCCATTTGTAGTTCAGAAGGCAGGCTCTCTGAATTCTGTGGCACCGCAGTGCCTACAAACATGGCATGGAATGAATGTGGGGGCTATTTACAAAAACTGGAGAGTGCAAAATCTGGTGCACCTCTGCATATAAAACAATCAGCTTCCGGGTTTTATTGCCAAAGTTTAATTGAACAAGCTGAAGTTAGAAGCTGATTGGCTACCATGTACAGCTGCAGCAGATTCTGAGAGCACCAGTTTTAGTAAATCTACCCTTATGCGTAACAGAATTCAAGGAAGTAAATGTGTGGGGATCTTCACAAAGCAAGTTTACAAATTCAAGATTGTTCAGATTTATATCAGTAGGCTATAAATAATTGAAATACAATGTGGAAATGAATATATGATTTTACATTTTGACCACAGATACACTTTAAGGGCCGATGCACACCACAATGTCTGCGTTCTAGACTCATTTCTGCATGCGTGATCTTGATATGTTCCGGTACATCCCCCCCCCCTTTTTTTCTTCTTTCATCTCAGTGAAGGACATTATGCGTTTTGCTGTGTTCCAGATGCATTCCATACAGAACAAAATGCAGCACGTTCTACTTTTGTTGACATAACTGGAATGCACTGCACTGGTGTAAATTAGGACCATGGAGACCATGCTAAACATCATCCATGTGTTTTTGATTTTTTGATGCAGAAATAAAACACACTGGACTGCATCTGGTGTGAACCAGCCCTAAGTAAAAGACATTTGCCACATTAGTGAGTTAGTTTCAAGCAATTTAGCTTTTACCATCAGAATGTAGATATGTATACCTTTGCATGCAGTGATTCAACAAAATAGAGAAGACTGTCAAGAACAGCCCAGTACCCATACTAGATTTGGGTTTAACCTTTCAATGACAAAATAACGTTTTTTTGTCCAGGTATGTTGAGTGTATATTTAGTGATGGGGATATTAAACCATGCAGAGGAAAAATAAAACATTTCCTAGAATGCTAGTAACATATAAATGAAAAGAATACACAAAATGTTAATAGCTGATATATTTATGACAACCATAATGGCTATGCCTTGGCTGGGTGTACCTGCTGCCCATATGTAACACAGAAGCCACTGCTGCCATAGAGAGCAAAAAGAGAACTCAGAAAAATGGTGTCACTAGTTTCAAGTGACAGGCTGAATACTGTTAGGGTAGCACAATGTCTTCCTGTACTCTTTGTGGGTGACAGGTACACCAATAAAAAAAAATAAATAAAAGGACAGCTACTATTGGAGGTTAATAAAAGCAGGAAATACATAAATATATACCACTAGGTCCACTCTTATCTTCTGCCTGTGCCAATTCAGTGGAAGTATTTTTGATTATATTATCTACAGAGCTGGGAGAACCACTTCTTGGGGCACCTATGTGAGGATATAATGTAAACAGGTGGATAACAGTCACATATTTGAATGTGTTTTTTTAAAATCACAGCAAGCAACATTACCAAAAAAAAAAAAACCCAACAGTCATTATATTCACATTCTGCAGAAAGGCATCACACACAAAAATTGTACAGCTCGTCATAGAGCATCCAAAAATGAAAGGGATGAAAGAATTTTATATAGCTCTTGTTCCTTTAATTTAATGATTTAAGACTAAGTAGTACCAAATACCTGTATGTATAGGGATGAATTAAGCATCATTCACACGGGGTAATTACCTGCCTGCCCAGTGCAGAGCTATGTTGGGTCGGCAAGGTGATGCACAGGTGGTTCCATACATCACTTTGTCGGCAGTCTCAAAGATATCTACCGGGACACGAAGCTGCATGGACACAGCCCGTGGTGTCCCAATGTGACATCCTTGCGAGTGCAAGAACCCTAAACACACCCAGGGCGAGTTTGAGACACACACCTGCACACACATAGATGCCATATTGGGGCACCGCTTCTCTCACCTGTGCATACCCTTGCTGGCACAACACGGCCCTGCACAGGGCAAGCAAGTCCCCCTCCCCCCTTCCCCTCCACTGACTTAAATATGGTAACCTGAAATACACAATTCTGGTACAGGAAGTTGCTGTACCAACCACATTCAAATTGGTACATTAAATCTAATTCGATAAAAAAAAAAATGAAGTGTGTTCTGAAATTGTCACCACCCCTAAACAATGAAAGATACACAGAAGTTGTCCCACTTGGGATTGTGAAGGCAATTAGCTACAACTGTGTTATAAAACTTGTATTTTTTTGTACTCACCGTAAAATCCCTTTCTCGGAGTTCAATGACGGACACAGCATCTCCTTATCCATAACAAAGATTATATTATCTTTTTTTTAAAAAAAGATATTATATTTTTTGTAGTGTGCACAAAAAATCAAATTTTTTCTTATGTTCATTGACTGACACATCATCTCCTTCTTATCCATAAAATAGGGATGTCCCCAAGTAGTGCCACAATGAGGGGTGGGCAAACCGATCAGTGGAGAGAAAAAAAAAAAAAAAAAACCCAGGGCAACAAGCCAACACTCCGGAAGACCCCAAAGAGGGTGCCCAGGAACCCTAAACAGCCGCTTGAAAAACTTTGCAGTTAAATCTAGCATCAGAAGACGCCAACACATCAACCCTATAGAACTTGGTAAACGTGTGCACAGACGGCCAGGTCACTGCTTTGCAAACTTAAAAAACAGATGCCTGATGTCGGAGTGCCCAGGAGGCGTTACCACCCTAGCGGAGAACGCCATAACCGGGAAGGGAAGTTCGCGCCAATTAATGGCATAGGCCTATAACCTGTCCAATCGTCTGTCGAATCCAATAGGAATTAGTGTCAGAAGAGGCTGCCAGACCATCCGTCAGAACAAAGAAAGAATCAGACTTCCGAAATGCAGCCGATACCAAAAGGTACATGCGAATCACGTGAACCACATCCTGGTAGTGCAGTGTCACCTTTTCAGGGTGCGTTGGTCCAGGACACAGGGAAGGAAAGGCAATATCCTCAAATGCAAATCTGACACCTTTGATAGAAAAGAAGGGGGAGGTCGAAGTACCGCCTTCACCTTGTGCAAAACCATATAAGGCAGCTTACAGGACAAAGACGCCAACTCCAACACCCACCGTGCAGAAGTGACAGCAACAAGGAAGGCAACTTTTTGCAAAAGTGAAAGCTGGGGTATATCCTGTATGCTCTCAAAGGGAAGCTTCTGAAGAACTGACTGCACCAAATTCAAATCCAACGGTGGCAAAGGGGAGCGCTCGGGAGGGACCACATGAAAAACCCCCTGAATGAACGTGTGAACCAGAGAATGCATGGCCAAGGGTCGCTAAAAGAAAACAGCCAGAGCATAAATTTGACCATTGATCATACTCGAAGCAAGCTTCTGATCCACACCACTTTGGAGGAAGGCCAACAGCCGAGCCACAACGAAGGAATGAGGATGGAACCCCAAGGCTTCACACCAACCAATACAGGCTCTCTAGGTGCGATGATAAATCTTCCAGAAGGTAGACTTACGGGCCTTTAACATAGTCGAGATCACTGAGCCAGACAACCCCCTGTCCTTCAGAACCTGGCACTCAGCCATGCCATCATAGCCACGATGGTAAAGCAGGGAAAGCAGGGTGGAAGACCTCCCTTGAGACAGAAGGTCTTCCCAAAAGAGGCAGCCTCCAGGGGGAATCCCCTACCAATTGCACCACATCGGCATACCACAGACGAGGCCAGTCCGGAGCCCAAGGATGACCGGGATCCCTTTGGCCTCTATCCTGGGTATTAGATGAGAAATCAGACGGAGGGGTGGAAGGCAAAGATGAGAGTGTACTGATCACCACTAGCGCATCCGTCGCGTCCGCCAAGGGATCCAATGATCTTGCTATGAACTATGGAACCTTTTGAATGAGGTGGAAAGCCAGCAGATCCATGTCCGTGTCCCCCAGCGAATGCGGAGTTGTAGGGACCAATCACCTTCATCCAGCGTCTGATGGCTGAGATAATCTGCTTGCCAGTTTTTAACACCTGGAATGTGTATGTCAGACAAAGCTGGAACAACCCTCTCCGCCCATCGCAGAATGTGAGATGCCTCCAGCACCGCTGCTGCATTTCTCGTGCCCCCCTGATGATTGACATGCGCTACCCACAGTGGCGTTGTCTGATTGAATCCTGGTCGGCAGACCTGACAGACGATCCGTCCAATGTGCAAGTGATGGAAGCCATCCCTTGGCTTGTTCCGAATCAAGCATTAGCCCCAGATACTTCAGGAGCTTGGCCGGGGTCAACACTGACTCCCTGAGGTTCAGGCTCCACCCAGAGTCCCGTAGGGAACGCATAGTGATCTCCACACTATCTAGTAGAGACTTGCGAGTATCCGCATACAGGAGCAAATCGTCCAAGAAGCCGATCACCGCGATCCCCCCATTGTCTCAGTAAGGCCAAGACAGGAGCTAGGACCCTGATAAACACCCGGGATGCGGAAGCTAGACCAAAAGGGAGTGCCACAATTGGTAATGCGCTTCCCCGATGGCAAAACGTAGGAAGCGCAGTTGCCCCTCGCAAATGGGGATGTGCAAGTAAGTGTCCTTGATGTCCAAGAAGGCCAGCTAACTCAACGGAGGGAGGCTACCACCGAGTGAATAGATTCCATCTTGAACTTGTGAACCCACACAAAGGTATTTAGGACCTTGAGGACCAGCATCAGGCAAACTCCGTCCACCTTGGGAACTGTGAACAGATAGTTCAGTAGACAGTAAAAGCTTCGACAACGATCTGAGGCAGGCACCGGGACGATCACTCCGCGGAGGAGCAGTTCCTGCAGCGCTCCGTACACGGACTGCAGGCGCCGCCGCTGAAAAGACAGTCGCCCTGAAAAGGCACGTCCACCAAGGCCTTTTTGGAGGTCTGTCCACCGACCAACACTTGAGCCAAAGGACCCACCAGAACACCCTGGTCGAGACAGAGAGTTTAAAAAGAAAGTGGAGCTGCATCAAGGGAGGTGTCGCAAGTGTACTTCAATCCCTGGACCAACTGATCCGTCATTTCCACATACACTTGGGACAACTGACTAGAAGTTAAGGCTTGTCGCACAGCCTAGGCCCATTCAGTCAGTGACTGGGATACCAAGGCCGTAGTCAACCTAGTCTCAGCGCCGATAATGAACATAAAGTCGGCTACCGCCTCCGCCCTGCGGATCCTTAAAAAAAAAAAAAAAAAAAAAAAAAAAAAAAGATAGATTCCTCCACCGGGATCAACGTGGTTTTGTTAAGCCTGGAGATGGGAAGATTCACCACTGTCAGAGAGGTCCACTTCTTCAGCAGTGCATCCTCAGAAGGGCAATGCACTGTGAAGCATTTGGAGAGTACAAACGGACGCTTCAGCCGACTCCAATCCTTATAGACAAATTTGTAAAATTACTCGGGGTAAGGGAAAAACCTTGGCAACACAAGCCAGCCTGTGCATACCAAAAGGGACAGGCACCACATCTGCCACCCCCGAAGAGTCCTCAATCTTTAGAGATTCACACACCAAAGCAGTAAGTGCTGCTACCAAGGTCTTCTGTGCAGCTGAAGAGGCAGAGGACCCGTCCTCCTCATCCGAGGAATCAGGGATGCTTCATCAGGATCCGTGGCAGCCGGATCCGTTTCGGTCTCAAAATCGTCTGAGGATGTAGGCAGGGGGCATGTCTTGCTCACCTTGCGGCTGCCTCCACACAGGACACAAAACTCCAAGACGGCCGAAAACATGTCAAGGGAAACTGAGGGACCCGAGATGTGCAGCATGCTCCTGGGATTCCATGGGACCAGCCCCTCCAATAAGCACAACTGCAAAAAGGTGACCCCAAACAAGGGCAAAGTTCAGAAGACCACCCCCAGGGTGTGCCAGAAGGTAAACGGGAGGGAGGGGGAGAGAGAGAGAGACCGAAACTCCCCCAGCCAACGTCTGTCGCCTGAACTTCTCAGACAGCAACAAAATGGCCACTGCGCTGGACACTAGAGGCTGCTGGCAGAAAACACCTGGAAAATGGCAGCTGCAACTACAGTATCATGGCCACTGGCCATCCCAGCCACACTGCGGCACGGCCCGCACCCCCAACATTAGGTAGGCCCTCCAAACAACACGGTAACCCCCCACAGCAGAGCAAAGCCACTCCACCCCCCCAGGTTCATCCAGACAACGCCGCAAGAGGGGAGGGGAGGCAGGCTGAGTGGGACCAGTCACTACCAGGACTGGTTAACAAACAGGCACCCAGCCCAAGCCATCACTGTGACTGGCAGTGACCCCCGGAACCAGGTTATCTAGGGTGTTGCTGTGTGGGGAGCAGGGGGGAGTTGGGTGAGGGGAGAGGGTACTCGTTACCAATCCAGCGGAGCATGCGGGTGAAGCTTCCGTGACAGATCCTCCTCTCCACCGAAGTGGGGGGGGGGGGGGGCT